ATGGTTTTGGGATTTTTAGGGGAGGGGGCCGTGGGGTTTTGGGCAGCAATGGGGGTGTAATTTGGTTGGCCTTGATGTGGTGGAAGGGGACGGTTCAAGGGGGACTTGCCTTTCTTGAGTTGAGCTTCCACTTTTAGGGCTAGCTTTGTTAAATCTTCAAGGCTTTCAAAATTTTGCAGCTCCACGGTGTTGGCTATTTGGGCGTTTAAACCAAATAAATATCTCACAAAGGTTTGTGAGTCATTCTCTTGAAGATCACATCGCATCAAGAGTTCTTCAAACTCTCGGTTGTACTCTTCTACGGACTGATTTCCTTGCCGTAGGTTTTGAAGCCTAGCAAAGTTTTCCCTTATATAATGAGTAGGAATGAACTTCTTCTTTAATAAAGCTCTCATCTTGGTCCATGTTTTAACAGCAGCCTTGCCTTCTCTTTTGCGCTTGGTGGTAGTGTTAGTCCACCACGTAGATGCGTAGCCTCTCAATTTTAAGGCCACAAGCTTGACCTTCTTATCCTCTGATACCTCGGTATAGTCAAAGACACGTTCAATCGTCTCTAACCACTCTATGAAATCATCGGGGTCATCTTTTCCATCAAAAGTTGGGATTTCAACTTTGAAATCAATAGATGACTTCTCTTGGTTGTTTCTCCTTGTGGGACAAGGATGAGTTTCTGGTTGGGCTTCTTCCTCTTGCTCATCTTCACTTTCTTCAGGGGTATTCATCATATTCATTTTGAATTTGGTGAGTTGAGCAATCTGTTTAGCCAAGTACTCCACTTGGGTCTTGAGTTCTGTATTCGAGGCCCACAGCTCTTCATTGGTGATGATTACAAAGGTGTTTGACATCTTGAAGGGTGTGAAAGAAGAAGAAGAGAATGGGGTAGTAGCTAGAATGGTAAGAAATGATGGGTGGTTTTGGGTGAAATATGGTGTCCGAATTAAGAGAGAAGGGTATGGTGTTTTGGGGTTGGTGATGGCAGCAAGAAAAGGGGGAAAATGGTTGTGGTGTTGATGTGGGCTTTGGTGTGTGGTTTTAAGGGAGAGGCAAGGGATGGGTAAGGGTGGTTTTTAGGGGTCTCTTTGGCCGAAAATACCAAAGAAGAGAAAAGAGAGATGGTGTTGAGGCTGATCTTTATGGCAATAACAAAGAGATAAGGGGGATGGTTGTTTTTAAAGGGGTGTTTTTTTTTGGAGTGGTCTTGGTCGAAATAACCAAGGGGAAGGGAAAGGTTTATGGAAGTGTAATTGGCCCTTAGGGATGTTGAAACACAATGCTCTGATACCAAATGTTATACCCGAGACCCGGGGTCTTATCACGTTGCTATTTTAGAGAAGGAATTATGGGGAGGCGAGGGGGAAATGGGGTGGCCGAAATATTATGGGGCAAAAGGGGAGTTCTTTTGGTGTTTTTTTATGAAGAAAAAGAAGAGGTTTAGGAAGAGAATATGGGGAGGCACGAAATGAGGGAATAAAATAGGAGGGGATAAATCAAGTTGGTGTTAAGAGATATGACACACTCTTATCTTAACTTGGGGTTTGAATCTAGAATTCAAATAAGATATTACACACTTATTTAAATATCTAGAACCTAAAACTCACACTTAAGATAACCACTCTTAAGATATAGAATTAGGAATTTGGCTTAAATAGCATCACACTATTTAAAATATATACTCAAAGAGTAATGTTTTAATTCATCAAAAAAAAACTGCCTTACAACATGGCCCTAAGGCCGAATTATATATGAAGGGGAAAGTGGGGGGGAAACACACAATACAATTAATGGGACATAAGGAAGCTT